CAAAATAAATGCAGTATACCCATATATACTAACATGTGCACATTTTAACATTGTTTACTTTATTTTTATATTATATTTTTGCACAAATTTCTATAAATTTACTATCCCATCATAAGAAATAAGTAATTACAATAACAAAATTCATCACAAACGCAAAATTCAGTCAGCCAAAGGCAATGTGTCGGCCAAGTCACAGTACGAAATATCTCTTATAACCGGCGAATGGCAAACAAACCGCACAGACAGCACGTTGCTGAAAGAGTTGCTGTTGCAACGAAACTGAAAATCTCAGCAACAAAACACTTCGGCTATCAGTTGGGAATGCCATCCACATCACTTGCCAATGGCAGCATGTGGCGGTGGCAAAGACAACAATGAAGGTAGTGCCTATAAACAGACAAGACAGGGGAGAGGATAGAAATCGAAGTGTGGTTAACTATGGTAAAAGCACCTTGGCAATATAAACCGTGATATTAACAACAAAGGAGACCACTGGGAGCATAATAATTGTAAAGTTGATAATGGAGGAACCAATAAGAGAACAGGAACTGAAAGAAAATTTACATTTAAAAAAGATGGGCTTAAAAACTAATTTGTAAATGTAAAATATATTCTTATATGGTATTCATTTTACCTTCTATATATTTTTAAAAAAAAAACCTACTTTTAATAGTTATATGGATAAAAAAATTAATTATTTAATTAGGTACCCACTTACGGGGTACGGGGTACGATGCCTCTATTTCTAGACATAGTTTACTAGTTAACTTTTTCCCATTTTTAAGGAATTATTATTTTGCAATAACAAACGTGACGATTTTTCCGCTTAAAACGATTTTTTTAAAGTGCTTTGACAACAAAAAAATTTTATTTTCGAAAAACCTTCTGCAAAAAAAAACTGTTAGTAAGCGATAAGAAGCTTGATATTATATTTTGATATCGAATTTGATTTAGAACAACTATTGACAAAGAATTTGATCCCCACTTTTGTTCCAAGTAATGAACTCCTTATATTTCTATTTATAGCTCACAGCTTTGTTAAAGCTATTATTTCCAAGATTGACTAAGTTTCTTATTGGAGATGTTTAATGTATCAAATTATGAACAATTCAACACCGTGTTTAGCCAAATTGAATCCAACCAAACCCAGTCTACGCAAATATATAGTCTTGCACATTACTAATTTGTTTCCAATAAATAAATACTGTAAATAAATAATATTTGACTATACATATACAGATACTCGTGTATATTTCATTTGTACTAAATATTTATATATTTACCCTGACTCCAAGAAAACGCGCCTCGAGCAACTCCTGCTTTCTCGGATCCAACGAAGCTTGAAATTGATCCATCGTCTTGTAAAATTGCAAATTCACACTTAATATATATAAAATTTTATTTCAACACCACTTATTTTTCGCTAACAGTGTAATATATAGAGATTCAAAACAATTATTATTGCGAAAAATAGCATTCACCAAAATTTGTCCGCGAAAACCGGCGTACACTGTTTTACCGACGTGCAATAAGCGCGATCAAAACAAACAAAACAAACGCGAAACGTATGAAAATTGGCAACACTTATCCCAACTTTTTTATTAGTACGGCAGTTCTCCGGCTTAAAGGCAATGAGATAAAACATACGTAATAAACACAAAAACAAACGACCACTCACGTTACGTCGCTTACAACGTTACGTTGGCACATTTTATTTTACTGATAGTAGCCGTGTCTCTCCCCCTTGCAACCGCACTAATACAATCAAAACTGCAATTTTACGCGCTCCAACATGGTTCATTCACACTTTCTTACAGCGAAATATACAATTTTTTCAAAAGCGATTATGTCGTGTATTCACTGATTACGGATTATCACTTATTTATGTATATTTATGAGCTAAAATCCCGATTATTTGTGAAAGAACACAAACTAAAAATCAACGCGAAAAATTTAGCGAAAGAATAGTTGTCAGAGCAAAATGCACACAATTTTACACTCACACAAACTAAACTAATTTCATGTGAGCGCCGAAACAGCTGCTGTTGGTATGAATGCTGCCACCTTACATAAATTTAGGTGGAATTAAAAATCTCATGGAAACTTGAAAAGAAGTCGCTGGGGGCGCTGTTAGGTGATTAACCGGTGACTTAACCGATAGGTGGCTTGTACAGAAGGAATGGAATTACATTGTAAAAATATGAGAGTATTAATATGAGAGTATAATAAGAAATATTGAAAAAAATTATTTAAGGACTTTTGAATGTTTTAAAAAGTAACATAGAATTATGTAGTAGTTAAACTTAGTACTTATTGTTGAAAAAGGTAGCATTTGTTCTAAATGCATTTTTAGACTCAATTTCTTTTGCTTTTTTATACCTTGAACGGGGTAAATTAAGTTTGCCACGAAGTTTGTAACACCTAGAAGAAAACGTCAGCAACCCTATAAAGTAAATATTATAAATGATTAGAAATACGATCTAAGTCGTTTTAACCACAATCGTCTCTCTATATATGCTCTATCAGCATATAGCTTCTACACAACTTGACCGACCAAAATCAAGTTCATGTATGGAAAACTTTGGTATTTGATGAGACACCTCTACAAAATTTGACATGGGGTATTCTCCAAGGAAATTGTTCAGATCGGGCCACTATCTGTATAGCATATTACTGCCATACAAATTGATCTTTCAAAATCAAACAACATGTTGCTACAGAGTATAATAGTTTTGTTCATCTGACGCTTGTATGTATCACCTAATAGGACTCAGTCGAAAAAATTTGTTGAACCAATCATTACAATCTTTCAAAATAGGTTCCTTCTGAGTCGATGCAGGGCGATTTCCAAGCATTGAAGTCGCCACGGAAAGCATTCTCCGGAATAGCCTTGAGAGCCGAGGTGCATGCTGCTTGGATCTCCTCTGCTGTCTCAAGAGATAAGGAAGATCGCCTCAAAGATTCATGACTCCACCTGTGTTTACGTTATTCAAAACTTGGGGGTCACTTTCACACATATTCAAATTTTCTTAGCACACTTTCACTCGCCGTTATTTCTGATCGTCAGTGAGCACTTTTGGCACCATCTTCTCGCATACCTTTCGCATGTTCAAGTGCTCCGTCACAATGTTATGAAACACGCCACATAATTAAACGAATACTTAGTCGACGGTCTGAGTTCAAAACTTTGTGCACACGAGTCACATTGTCGGTGTTTGTCGAAGTCGCAGCATCCTCTTCCCGGCCCTCCAAAAGGGCCTGATGCCACCGAAATACACCACTTCTGGCTAAAGCAACATCTGGATAAGTTATATCAAACGCCTCTGTCACAGGTTTACCAAGTTTCACACAGATATTACCTCGTACCTCTGCTAAAACGCAGCACTCTCAGAAACGTGTCGCGCGAAAATGTTTGTCCTGACTCTCCCGGTGCTCGAAGACAACTGACCAGCTGATCGTTCGTTAGATAGGAACGCCCTCTACCGAATCCAGTCGGTGCGCGCAGTATAATCGCGGCGAAAGCAAATAGTCCTATTACTTTACGTATAAACCCTTTAATTATGAGAGAACCTTAAACCACCCACTTTTAGATTAATTCACATATCTCGAGACCCCCCTGATTTCAACAAAATTTGGTATTCGACAGCCACGAATCGAACTACAACTATTCAAGCCCCTATGTACTGAATATGTGGAACTAGTGCTTATAGTTGACACTATACCGAAAATATAAGTCAATGTAAGACATATAATTGAGAGAATCCTTTACTAATAGTAGTATGTCAGTACCGAGGGACTTCATATTACATATAAGTAACAAGCCTTGTGTACCCGAAGGTACTTTGCTAGCTTTGATCTTTGGGAGTTGTAAACGTATGATTAAAAGTTCAGTTATACCCGAACTTAGCTTTTCTTTACGTGTTTCTTATTTCATTTTGTTTTGCTCTTTGCCAGTACATACCAAACGTATTATCTTTGTAAGTAATAATTCCACTTTATTCATCACATTTCCGATTGTATAAATTCTCACAAGTGTACATTTTTCGAACGTAAATTAAAATATTTTGCTATTTCCGGTGCTGATTTGTCACTGATGCCTTTAGCCACTTTAGTTATTGCCCTATTGACGAGTTCCTTTTGATGCAAGTCATCTGCAGCGCTAATTATTTGGAATAATGTTTCATTATCGACATCTAAGAATTGATCTTTCCATGCTTCCATGTTGTTATTGTCCAAATCATAAGACGCATCCTCACATTTTTCGGCCCATATGATAATGCGACGCAAAATGTTTGATGTGATTTTATTTAATGAGATGCAACCTTCTTGGTCCGACACCTTTTTCGCTTCTTGAACTACCTGCGATTTCTCAAATAATGAGTCACGGGTGCCAAGCACTTCCCCATCCTTGGTACGAATACGCAAATCATTTAGTGCCATGAAATATAACAGCGAATATACTATTGTATGTAGGTATGAATATATGTATGTATGTACTTAAGTACGTTAATAAGTATTTAGTTGGAAAGGCTACGTTACCATAGCTGAACTGAGCTCCAATAGCATTTTGTTGTTAACTATAAAGTGCCAGAGTGTTCAGATTGTGAACGCAAAGTACATTTGTTTGTATGTACATATGTACGTAAATATTAAATAACGTTTAATTGGCGCCTCACCTTATACAAATGTACTATACACTGTTATATACTAACTACATATTTATTATTCTATTGTATAAATTATTTATGTACGTTATGCCTTTAAAGCTTGCTGTTAGACGAAGGCAGCAACTGTCGTCATCTAATTGACTTCCTATGAAATTAGAAATGTAAAATTGTGTAAGAGTCCGTGGTTTGGATTACATCAAAAACTTATATAACATTATGACACCGCTTACGGTAACAACCTGTTCGATACTGGTTCGGTAAAACACAAAGTCGATCTCGCTTTATTCAACCGCTCTCTAACACGCTCACCTGCATTAAAACATTGTCAACTCCTCACTCCTGTCTCTAACACATAAAACACTTTTCTCATAAAACATAGTTTAATTTAACTGTTGCAATAACAACAACCGTTAATTTTCTATATACATATATGTCTGTTATGCGCTTCACACACCTCTCATTAAGAAAATTTGTAATACAACTAGCAAAATAAAATTTACAGGTCTCAATGTACTGAAACCATTCTCACGAATCCAATCAAGATACGAAGTCACATTTGTGTAATAACCGACATGTTCGGGTATACCACATTTAACGCCAAATGATACAATACCCGTTACACTGCCATTACATATCAGCGGACCACCCGAATCACCACTGCACGAATCTTTCTCAGGATCAGCCAAATCGCCAGCACACATCATGCCAAAAGCATATTTGTCAGTTCTAGCGTCACAGTAATTGTCTGGCATTATATAGACATCGACATGTAATATTTCATTTGGCATCGGGCCCCTCTAGAATAATTAATAACTGCAACGCCTACATATTTTTTTATAAAAGCTTTTACTCACGAAAAAAATTCGACCCCAGCCAAGCACGGTGCATTTAGTATAGGGCGGTAATGGGTGGGTTTGCAAACTAATTCTCTGTACTGCAATACCGTCTTCATATATATTTTTCACCAACAACAATATACCAATATCATTTCGAAAAGTTAAAGGTTTGTAGTAGACGTGTCGTATAATTTTATCAACTTTTAAGACTTGTGTTGTCTCAGTTGGTACCAAACGCCTCGGGGTTCCCGCAACTACCGTTAAATCTGACGGTTTCAGCCGGATTCGGCTGTGGCTGCATTTATAGAAACGCTTATGTACTCATTAATACATTTTTAAACATCAAACAATTAGATTACCGCTTACAAACACAATGTGCTGCGGTCAGAATTACTTTGGGTGAGATTATGGAGCCGCCACATTTGTGATCATCTCCAAAAAACCATCTGTGATTGCTTCCTCGTATGGAGACAACATATTTTACCAAATTATCTATCTTCGGACGATAACCGCCGGTTATCAAAAATTTGTAATTTTCCTTGGCATCCTCCATTATGATCTTGCTATTGTTTTTTGCACAAAGATATGTTTCCAATCGCAAAATGTTGAACAAAAMTATTGACACTAAAATTTTTTCAATTGAACACATTTCTAACTTCTTGTGAATATGATTCAATAATAATAATAGTTGAATCATGCTTGATGTAAGACTCAACATCTCAAACTGTTATGTAATCGAAAGAGTTTTGTTTTAACTTTTCGCGACTAATATTTTGTTTTATTTAGAATCTTTTATTATTATTAAATGACAACTAAATTTGCTCACAAAACCAATGATGTTAAAGTACAATGAAAAATATTATACCTAATTGATCCCACCTTCATAATCAATTCAATCGAAAGGGGCGATCTAATGGTTGATATATTCTTAGTYYCCYACATTGTTTTCTAATAAYTAGCWGTTATATCGGAAATACATACGTTAGCATGGTTCTCCAATCGAGAGAGGCTTACAGCTTCGTAAACCTTAACCCGAGCATCCTCCATTATGATCTTGCTATTGTTTTTTTCACAAAGATATGTTTCCAAACGTAAAATGTTGAACAAAATTATTGACACTAAAATATATTTCATAGAACAATTTCTTATAAACAGGATTCAATACTAATTAAAATAATTGAATTATGCTTGATGAGTATACAAATCAAATTGATATTATGTGTTCGAAATAGAAAAGGTGAAAAAGTTCTAAGTTCGGCTGAAGATGAGTTTCCGGTACGTTTGTCAGCATAATCGAGATTCTATAGCTAATATTGATTGAATTCCGAAGGCAACCGAATATACATTGCCAAAATTGGCCTAAGGACAGTTATTCCGGCAAAATTACTCTGTTTGGATTGGTATGCTCGTGATACCATTTAAACTCCACCTGGTTAGGTGATACATTGCAATAGAAGGAGCCATCTTAAGACCTTCTCATTCCACATGATGACAACACACAACAAGGAGAATGATTGCCAGTTTAATTGTCCAACTTCTTTACGCCCACTATCCAATTTAGAACCAGGTTCCATTAAAGGTTTCTTTCAAAATTGTTTGCCCACAAGTGCCTTTTACTACTGCGATCCCCTATGCTAAATTATTGTTTTATATCTTAATTTAGTGCTTAGTTAAGGAACTTTATAGGTTTTCGGTTAATGACAATTTGTGGGCATGTCAGTAGTAAGTTTCTTTTTATGCCACTGATCGTGGAGGATGATGAGGAGTCGGAGTCTGATGTAGACGATGACCGGGGGTTTCGGTCTCTTCGACTAAGCAACTCAACACTGAAGTTGAATAAGGTAATAAGGACGCGTTGTTGGCAACATACAAGTCAATCCCTCGATCTGTCATTAAGAATACATCATCGATACATCCATCTGGTGTTGTAAAACGCTGACGAAAAAGCTTCAGACGTGTCAGAACACTGCACTCCCTATCATAACATGATGCTTCCTCATTGCATAAGGCACACAATATAAAATGCTTTCGCAGAGATTATTCCTGCAGTCTTTTACTTGAAGCGGAACCGTCTTCTAAGAGCATCAAAAGGTCAATAACACCTTCCCAGACTCCCTTTTAGTGAATGGCATACTTGGCATTGAAGCACAACCAATAATAACTAATATTCATATTATTTTTTACTTCACATTCCTTCTATTATGAAAACTTGTAAGACAATTAGCAAGATAAAGTTTACAGAGCTTAATTTACTGAATCCATTCTCACGAATCCAATCAAGATACGAAGTCACATTAGTATAATAATCAGCACGGTAGGGTAAACCACAGCCAAATCCAAATGATACAATACCCGTTAAATATCCATTACATATCAGCGGACCACCTGAATCACCAGTGCACGAATCTTTCTCAAAATCAGTCTCATCCCTAGCACACATCATGCCAAAACCAAAGTGTCTATAACTAACTTTACAGATTTCGGTTGGCAAAATATAAGTATCAGCGTGTAATATTAAATCTGGTATTGGACCCAACTAACATATTTATTTAATTAATAGTACAGATTGGTATTGATTTAAAATAGGTTTTACTCACGGTAAAAATTCGACCCCATCCAAGGATGGTGCATAAGGTATACGGAGGCAATATGTTGATTTGCAGATTAATCCTCTGTGCTGAAACACCGTCTTCATATATATTTTTTAACAACAATAACAAAGCAATATCATTTCGAATAGTTATAGGGCAATAGTAGATATGTCTAATAACTTTATCAACTTTTAATACTTGTGTTTTTTCAGTGGCTACTAAGCGCCTCGGAGTTCCAGCTACTACCAATAAATCGGACGGTCTCAATTCTATTCGGCTATTGCTGAATTTAGAGAAGTATTATATACTTATTCAGATTTTTTTACACGAACCTCAAATTATTACATCATACAAACACAATGAGCTGCGGTCAGAATAACTTTGGGTGAGATTATGGAGCCGCCACATTTGTGATCATCTCCAAAAAACCATCTGTGATTGCTTCCTCGTATGGAGACAACATATTTTACCAAATTATCTATCTTCGGACGATAACCGCCGGTTATCAAAAATTTGTAATTTTCCTTGGCATCCTCCATTATGATCTTGCTATTGTTTTTTGCACAAAGATATGTTTCCAATCGCAAAATGTTGAACAAAACTATTGACACTAAAATTTTTTCAATTGAACACATTTCTAACTTCTTGTGAATATGATTCAATAATAATAATAGTTGAATCATGCTTGATGTAAGACTCAACATCTCAAACTGTTATGTAATCGAAAGAGTTTTGTTTTAACTTTTCGCGACTAATATTTTGTTTTATTTAGAATCTTTTATTATTATTAAATGACAACTAAATTTGCTCACCAAAACAATGATGTTAAAGTACAATGAAAAATATTATACCTAATTGATCCCACCTTCATAATCAATTCAATCGAAAGGGGCGATCTAATGGTTGATATATTCTTAGTTTCCCACATTGTTTTCTAATAATTAGCTGTTATATCGGAAATACATACGTTAGCATGGTTCTCCAATCGAGAGAGGCTTACAGCTTCGTAAACCTTAACCTGAGCTGGGTTCTTTTAATTTTCACATCATCTCTTCATATCTGTCTCTTATCAATTGTAAGCTCCAGATATTTTTCGCTTGTGCATGTTGGAAGTAACTGTCCATATAAGGCCACTTTTGAACATATTGCGTGCCTAAGGATATACACAACTTGTATGGACTTTCCAATATTTACGCCAATATTCCAATCCGCATCTTGTTATCCTTAATGGTTGTTGATAACAGTCTGCATGGTATATAGATTGCAGGATATTAAACTATTGGCCTGAAGCACTTGGTTGTAGTGTAGTCCTTTTAGCCTGGTGTGGAAAAAACTCGACTAGGGATCCTCTTTTATGATATACACCACCACCAATATCGGTTGTTACTCCACATTTTAGAGGAATCTTTGCTATGTACTACTTATTCTTGACGATTTCTATTTCTCAAAGGGGTTTTTTGTCCACTGTGTGGTTTGTTGGCTTTAGGCCTTCCTTATGAATTGCTTCTGGTATTGACGCTATGCTTCCGCATAAGCTGCTAAACTTTGATCGTTTTACTACCTTTAGTTCTATCGTTTCTCTTCGCTCTATTAAACCATTTCCACCTTTCTTTTCTTTGGCTTTGGAAACTTGCAGTCCGAGTTAAATACTTCTATTTTACTATTATTTAGGTTGTCTACTTTCTGTTGCGGTTATTAGAGATTTATCGCTTTATTCATTAACAACAAAGATTTTCCTAGGCTATCAATTAATAACCCTGGGGAGTTTTCTACAATTCTGATATTGTTGATACAGAATAAATCATCCATTTAGAGATTATGCTCTTAGACCAGGTGGTTCCAGGTTGTTATGTCTAATACACCTTTGCTATTCCTACCATAATTATGAACGTGTATGTACTTTCCCCAATTAATGCTTTGATCTTCTCCTCTACTTTCGCACCATCTATTTTAGCGATGGGTGGGTCCATCTGACAAGCAAAGTCTGAAAATTTGCTGACTTCTCCAATGCTATAACCATCACTAATCTCGCTAGAGATGTGTGGCAAACTCATCGTTTTCTTCTTTTTTCATTTCACTGCATAAAATTAGATGAGTGAGTTTAATAGTATTTTCTTTGTGCTTAGAATTCGATATAATTCTTTTATTATTAGATAGAAACTATATAAGCTATTTTCAAAATATAAAATTTGGTCAGAAATATTTTCAATTAGTATGCGTAGATATTATTTACATCACTAGTCGTTCGTTATAAAAATTTGTAATACAATTAGCAAAATAAAGTTCACAGGTCTTAATTTACCTAATCCATTCTTACGAATCCAATCACAATATGAAGACACATTCGTATAATAACTTGCCTCGTCGAGTACAGCACAGCCCTAACCATATGATACAATACCCGTTACACTGCCATTACATATCAGTGGACCACCCGAATCACCAGCGCACAAATCTTTCTCAAAATGGTCCACATCGGCAGCACATTATCATGCCAAAAAAAATAAATCATCGTCTCTCTCTTTACAGAATTCATTTGGTATTATATAGATATCAACGTGTAATATTAAATCTGGCCTCGGACCCCTCTAGAATAATTAACAGTTGAAGTACCTATTTATTGTATAGTAGCCGTATAATAGCTGTTACTAACGGTAAACATTTGATCCTATCCAAGCACGGTGCACTTAGTATGAGGAGGTAATGCGCTGGTTTGCAGACTAATCCTCTGTGCTGAAACACCGTCTTCATATGTACATATTTTTTAGCAACATTAACAAAGCAATTTCATTGTGCATAGTCTCAGGGTCGAAGTAGGCGTGTTTAATAACTCTATCAACTTTTAAGGCTTGTGTTCTATCGGTAACAACAATTTGTAATTTTCCTTAGCATCCTCCGTTATGATCTTGCTGTAGTGACACTAAAATATATTTCATAGAACACATTTCCAATTTCTTATAAAAAGGGTTCAATGCTAATTATAATAATTGAATCATGCTTGATGTGAAACTAAGCAAATCAAATCGGTATGTATTCGAAAGTGAAAAGTTGAAAAAGTCTAAGTTCGGTTGAAGTTAGTTTGTACATACATACATATGCCTCGATGGTAGTCACTTCGTCTTGGGTGTGGAGACTTAACTGCTTGGTCTTCACCACTATTCAAGGATCGCCGGGTTTCCTGCCCTTTTCGACGAATATACACGGGAAGACTACTGTCCCTCCACCACGGCAGATGTTTTATATAGGCCTCGAACCCGACCAAGGTGACTAGGGGGTCCCTATGCACCCGAACCAATTGGAACCAAAAATTAAATGCAAAACGCATTTATGCTTTGGGGTGAGGTTAGGCCTTCGCAGGCAGGTACTCACGTAAACCACAACGACTTTCTGTCCCTCCACCAGCCAAAAGTTTCCGAAAGAAGAAGATAGTTCTTCTGTACCTCGTTTTGTCTTCAGAGGCCGCTTAACATAAAATAAATCGCTAAAATAGCAAGCAGACATACTCTTGAAGAGATGCGGAAAGCGTCTCATCTTCTATATCTTCAAATCAAAGATACGAGAAGAGACATCGACTAGACAACAGGAGATGTCAACTGTGCCGAAACAACATACACAGGCCTACCCGAAGATACAGCTATCCTGAGGCTAGAAAAGTTGTCAGGGTAGCAATGCTTCCAAACAAGTTTCTGCCTCCGAAAGAGCTTGCCAAAAGCGATGAGGCGTTTATAGGTCTAATGTAGCAGTCATGGACTTCCAAAGGTCAGGTAAGAGGAATAAAAGATAAATCCACACTAGTTATATAGGATCTCACCTGCAAGAACCCTAGAACATGTATCTCTGTATTTCAAAATTTATAAGTAGAGATCAGACTCCAAAAGTAATTGGTGCGAGGATTATTAAGGAGGATAACTACATTAAATCGATCAATCCCTCAAGATCCGAGGTCTTTTAAGAGCTTTAGGATTGAACGAAATAATGTCAAAGAATCAGAAGGCACAATAGTTCTATGGTCGCAGTTTCAATTCTACCAATATATCCATCTACCCTCAGCGACTATATTAACTGGGCGAAAGATTATAGACCGTACACTTGACAGCCTCCTTTACTTCGTAAAGGGGCGCGATTATTGCCAAAGTATCAAGTCACTAGCCGGAAAAACCTGGGGAAAAGCAGCCGGCCGACTGGTCATTATCTACATAACACTTGTATCGTCGGCTGGACTAAATTTAGACATGCACTGACCGTCATTCACAGTGGAGCCATTAACACCTTCACCAACTCCCTATCAGTGAATGGTATACTTGAAGTTAAAGCAATTCCTAAAGCAGAAAAAGAATCCGAGTTGCCCCGAGAGTATTTGTGGATATTGAGCAGGTTAAACTACAGAGAAATATACATACATATGTCCTGCGTGCAAAGAGTTCTCTCATGATTCTAACCACCTTTTTGAATGCATATTGAATCCTACTTACCTAAGACCCGTCTCCCTCAAACCCGTCGATAAACTTGGTTTCCTGGGTCAGACTACTTTCTCCTGTTAGATGACTGCGATGACCATTAAATGTTTTCCTTCAAGTCTCCCCTTGTATACCCCGACATAACCAACTTATGTCCTGCATACAATGGTTCATCGTGCGATTCTTATCACCTTTTTGCATGCCTCAGGATGCCATCCCACTTAACTCTTTTCTCCCTGTGGTCCGAACCCGTCGAAAAAGCTTGTTTTTTGGGTCTCCCGTTAAATGACCTCGATGACGGCTAAAATGTTACTTTCCCCCCAAGCAGGGTCTAGGCACTCGTTACAGCAACAATAGCAACATTGCAACCAATTAACAGCTTCTTGGAGAGCAAAGGACGTGTGAAAATGTTCCGATCAAATATACTGGCTATTTTATATAGTATCCGACATTTCCTAATAGATTTTACAGATTTTGTGACAAACTCTTCTACAAAAAAATTAGAAGTTCTTCTAAAAAATGATGAAGAGGTCGTTGTTAAATCAATTCAGCCTTTTTATTCTCTTAAATCACTTCAACCTTAATCGCCATCATACCAACTTCTATGTATGTATGTATATCAAAATAATTTATGGTAAAAAATTAGGTAAAAATTTACAAGAGCGACTTCTCCCAAAACTTCACCGAATATTTCATCTTAGGAGGTATTTCAACTTGCTTTATATGTGTGGTATTGGTGCGAACGCAACAATTAATTTGATGGAATGCGAAATCGTGTATTTCGTAGAAATAGAAAATAAGGCATTTTTTGTTGTTGTAGTGACAGTAAACTTTCCCAAAAACAATTTTCAGGAGTGCTTCCGAGTTGACTGTTTGTGTCAGGTATCAAATCCCGGTCTGTTACAAAACTACTCTTACAAACAATATATGTATGTACTTATGTATATTTGAACTGTACAAACTAAAACAATCAACCAAAGAAATACATATTCAAAGTTAAGAAGAAATGTCTTAGGTAGCGTTAAAAAAAATATAATATTGGAAATAAATATTGAATACACAATCAAAATTATACCACAATTACAAAACTAGGTATTGTGTTTGGGGAAAATCAATTACATTTATTGCGAAATATTGTATTGTTATATATGTTAAGAGATTTTAAAGGAATCTCAGCAGTGACAATTCAAGCCATACAATTTTGATTCAAATTTTATACTGATCTCTCCTTTATAGCAATATTTTTTTTATACATTAGTTAATATAAGGGCTATTGTGTTTTGAATATACTACTTTATTTTTCCTCACACCACTCGTTCTCTTTACGCACTTGTTCCTCTTCTGCTGGCGTGAAATCGTTTTTGATATTGAAAGTTTTCCGGATCTCTTCGGGTGTTTTACCTTTAATCATATTTGCCACAGTTTTACAAGTTACATCCAGCAACCCTTTAATATCCAAGTAATTAGCGGCTAAAATTAGTTCGAAGAGTGTGCCCTGATCAACTTTCAAAAAATCTGCATCCCATGAGGAGATATCATCGGTACGTTTTTCTTTGTTCTCATCATCTTCGGTGGGTTGTGGATCGTCTTTGTGATACGTAGCCCATGTAAGTACTTTACGCAGTATGGCAGAATTCACATTAGGTAATGGAACAGTAGCGTTTTCGCTATCATCCATGCCACAATCCTCCAACATTGTCTTTATGGTACCTGAGCATTTTGCGATTTGCACGTCAGTTTCGAAGTTTTCGTTGTCTGATGATTGCAAGGTAATAGGCATCTTGATATTCTATTTCTGAAATTAAGAATAAATCAAATAATATATGTATACACACATGCACAAATGTTTATGGTATATTTAGAAAACTTTGATTGCTCTCTATGTTTTTACCGTCACCGAAACGCACCTTTCCTTTACAATTTATCAAAACTTTCAGATCTTGTATTCACGACAAAACGCAATGTAATTGCTTCAATATTTCCAAATATTTGGTTTTAAACGATGGCAACAGTCCTGTAAACCTAACAAATGAATTTTTGGGACCTTCTTGCACTGCTCAAAATAAATTCACGAATGACAAATGACAAAGGCGCAAATATATGTACATATTTCAGGGTTGTATTTACAATCTTGTTTTAGAGTTGCCAGAAAATTGCAAATATTCGTCTGGAAAAATATTTTGTTGTTTACCAGAATTTTTTCAGATAGATAAAAATATTTTTCTTTCCAAATATATTTTTTTTTTTAGTTTTCATTGAGTGAAATAATATGCAATCTTTTTTATAATAAAAAATTTTTATTGAAACTATTTGTATGTTCATTGAAACTGAAAGTTATTTGTGTAAACACTTTGAAAGATACGGTAAAGTCAAATAAAAAATCTATTACATTCGTCAACCCTACAACTCAGGTTTCATTAAACTCTTTACTTTTCGCTTTTGTTTTGCTGCTGTCAACTCGATTCGAATGAAGATGTAAATAAAAAAATTTATTTTTTTTTTTTAATTTTTTGTTCATTATATTCGGATGGAATTCGGACTCACGAACAAGGTTTTTCGCAGGCAAGGAACTTCTGTTTTTTACTACACAATGGAATGTAACACATTTCATATTCTGGCAATTTAGAACTACTTTTTTTTTTGTTTTTTTTTTTTATACAGTAAAGCAACAATAATCTAATGAGCCACAGTGCAGTCGTCATATGTCCACAAAAACGTGGAGGCACAAGCGCCAGTTCCAAAGAGCCGTACATGGTTATAACGTCTGGCAGCCCATAATGCGTAAAAGGCCATCAAAAGCAATACGATTAAAATGGACAAAATCAATTGATAAAAAATTGTCATTTTCCGATAGCTGGAAAGATATTGGCATAATGTCAGGAGAGCTCCGCAAATAATTAAATCTTGTAATTTACATGGATACTTTATTTTGAACATTCCGCATACGTGATTGATGACCGCATTCACAACATTTTACGTCATTAAGCGTTCGGAAAAGGTCTGCCTTTTGCTTCTCCTTATATTTACAAAATATATCACGGATATCGTCAGATAATTCCATTATATCTGACATATTCCAAGGATTTAAAAAAATAAGTAGAATAAACAACAATCACAAAAAATATATGTATCTTTGACGAATTGATATTTTCAATTTTGAGTTACTCTTCTGTGTTGCTAGATTACATGAATTCGTGCAACACAAAATAATAATAATGTATAATATCCAGATTCCTAAAGAAAACCGCGCAAATATTATGCATAACCTGTAGAATAATTATAGATAAATGTACAACGCTTGTAGATAAGCTTAAAATTAGATTGAGTAAAATTCGATAACATGCTTTATAATGGAGCAATATATTATTGTCCGTGTGTTCCTGCTATAATTGCTTATGGCAGACGATTTTTGGTGGTTTCGGTACGAGTTTATTATCGCGACGACGAACGAGGACAACTACAACGAAGTCGAAGACGCTGCTAAGAATTTTTGTGGTTTCTGTTTCTTTTTTATTCGTTGTGAAGTGAACGTGAATTCAGGATTCTATATATTTTTATTATTTTTGCGCAGCAATATTTGAGCTTATCTCTACTGATAGATTAAAGTGATTAAGAAAAAACAAAAAAAAAAAAAGATTTTATAGAAGGTGTAATGGCGTGAGGGAAGCGAAAACAAAGAAGTTGAAACTTCTGTTTTGTGCGTGAGAGCTCGCTCGGAGTTTCTCGCCAGCACAGACGGCTAGACAGCAAGACAGCAGTCTGAAAAATTGAACAGGAGGAAGTTTGGGTTGAAAAATAATCGGCTGTAAATTGTTTGCAAATTGAAAGCAGTTGAAGATATCTTTTAAAAATTTACAGATCTATGGGAGTTATTTTCATAGCGGCTTTTAATCTGGTAAATAATTGCAAAAATGTATTTATACAAGTAAAATTTTTTCGTTCTTGAGGATGGACGGTTTTTTTTTCTTGCATTTTCTCAATTTTGCTGTTGACGCTGGCTGGCAATTTTTTCCAGTTATGCCTGATCAATATAGTGTTATCTCGTTCGCACTGACGTGAATAGAAAAGTGTAGACTTTGTAATGCGATTATTCCCTTTGTCTTCAGAAGTACACATATTGTGATTGTTAATTGAGGTGTATTGAACGGGTACCATTTCGGCAGAAAAGCATTCGATATTAAGTGATCTAATTAAGTTTATTTGCTGTGTTCTTGTAAAACTAATCCATATTTATGGGTTCGAACTATGTAGTGAATGACTTTTGATTGAATTTTCTGTGTTTTTGTACTTTTTAAACGACGGAAAAGCATGTTACTGCAATAGTGGCATTGGTCGGCTTCGACAGCTGATGCGATTTCGCGACAGGGCTGCGCAAGTATCACGACACAGCGTGCTCCACTGCTAAACAGTCGTTTCGTTCTCACTTAAAGCTGAATACGAATGCGAAAGTTTAACCCTTTTTTTATCGAGTGCGTTCATTTTACTATAATTATAGCTACCGCTGACTTCTGTGACAAGATCGAAACAGGCATGTTAATGCTTTAACTTAGTGAATGAAAAATTAATTGACAGTGATTGCTATTTAAAAAATAAAGGATGGGAATAAAAAGTTTTGAACTGTCCAATGTTTTGTGAAACGCCACATTGCGGAAATATTGTATGCCAAAGGAATACCGACTTTCTATACATATTAAATATATTTTGGAGACAACGACAACTCTACCAGTCACTTTGGTTTTGTATGACAGCCAGTTTTTTTTATAATTATTTGGAAAAATCAATTGCATTTCTAGTTTAAAATAACTCTTGTGCAATAGCTTAGCATAGTTAGAATATTGTACGCCTTATAACATTTTATACAACTTACCAAAATACCTACTAAATGAGCCATATTTAGTTTCACCTTAACAGATCAGGGAAGGCAAAACAATGATTGCCAACCACTTTTAAATTGATAATTGTTAGACATTGTCATGTTTTGACATACTTATTAATTTAATTATGAATTTTTAATTACAGTGACTGTTAACTGTTAAGCAGGTGCCTAAGCATCAGCGGCAGTGACAGGAAGAGTGACAACAATGGTTGTTGGTTCGAATCATCAGCGGCGTGGTGGTGGTGAAACTGGCAGCAATAGCAAAAGCGGAAATTCTTTGTCCAACGCAGTCTCATCCACCTCAAATAATAGTACGTCTAGTTACCACCATTCAGCGCATAACACAGGTCATCATAATACTAGTGGCAAAACAAATTCGATGTCTTCACATAATAATGGCGGAAGTAATGCCCATAGCAGTTCAAATGGTCATGCCCAACAGCAGAGTATATACAATGCATATACAAACGGCTATCATTTAGGCAGTACGATTGGTGGCACAAATGGAGCTGCTAGTAATAGCGTTAGTCGACTTTCACAGTCGACGGGGATGACACCAAAAGAACTTTCCGAAAATGATGACCTAGCAACTTCACTGATTTTGGACCCGCATTTGGGTTTTCAGACGCATAAAATGAACATTCGATATCGTCCACTCAAAGTGGACAGTGCTCAGTTAAAGGCTGTAGTGGACGATTTTATTGCAACACAAAATTATGATGTGGCGGTAAAAAAGATATTTAATGGCCCTTGGATACCAAGAAGTTTTAAAAGTAAAAACAAAATAAGTTTCAAACGACTACACGATCATGTAAGATTTTTTATTCCATGCTAAAAATATATTTGTTCAATAAAACTTCATAATAAACATATTTTTCTTTTATTAATGTTTACCCATATAATATTTTCAGATAATTCGTTATTTACGTGTGTTTGATAAGGACAGTGGTTTTGTAATTGAGGCATGTTATCGTTATTCACTCGAAGGTCAGAAGGGTGCCAAAATCAGTTCGACAAAGCGGTGGTCAAAGAATGATAAAATCGAATGCTTGGTTGGTTGCATAGCTGAGTTGTCTGAAGCTGAAGAAGCTGCTTTATTGCATACAGGCAAAAATGATTTTTCTGTTATGTACAGCTGTCGCAAAAACTGTGCCCAGTTATGGCTGGGACCTGCTGCTTACATAAATCACGACTGTCGGGCGAATTGTAAATTTGTTGCCACTGGACGCGATACCGCATGTGTGAAAGTGTTACGCGATATTGAAGTTGGGGAAGAAATTACCTGTTTTTATGGGGAGGACTTTTTCGGCGATGGAAACTGTTATTGTGAGTGTGAAACTTGTGAGCGGCGAGGAACCGGTGCATTTGCCGGTAAGGTTATAAACGGCCACACTGGCAGCGATGCTGGTGCCTTAGCAATGGGTTTAAGTGGAGCTTGTGTAATTGGTATAAACTCACATGATCCCTCTGTAAGTGGCGGTTATCGATTACGTGAAACTGACAATCGTATAAATCGTATTAAAAGCCGTGCCAACTCTACAAATTCAACACACCTTGATACAAACACGTGTGCGACGAACGTATCCACAACTACTGAAAGCTCTGCAGGGGCTCAGATTGCCAAGAAGACGGAAAGTGACGCCGGTGTTGCTATGGAAGTCCCTAATTTAGAAACAATGAAGAAACAACAACCTACTGTGGTAGTCACCCCGTTAACGATGAAGGAATTGCGACAAAAAGGTATGACCAAATATGATGCTGAAATGATCATGGCCAACACATACCAACGACATCACCATCATCAGCAGCATCACTCTCATCAACATGTACTGCATCAAGATATTAATGGCAAACATTCTGCATCTGATGCCATATCAGGTAGTAAAGTAGGTGGTAGCAGTTTTAATGTAGGGAGAGAATCGCTACGCAAATCGGCACGAGTAAACAGCACCAGCAGCACGATATCTTCTGGATCAGCGGACGAACTTTCTGTAAGTGCCGCAACAGCTGTGTCCCGTAACGTCAGCACCGGTGCTGTGGCCAAAGCGAATGCAACTAGCTCGGCGGCCGAACCAAAGTCGGGCGCAGCCACTACTGTGGCACGACGGCCAATACGAAAAAATGCTGGCAATGTGGCGAATAAAACTAATTCGAACAACAACAAAACAAGTGGCTATATTACACGTAGCAGTAGCAGCAGACAAACGCGTGCTACAGCAGCGGAGTGTGCAGAGGAAACTGAGGAATGCTGCGATCAAAGGGATACAAATGATTTAAATGAAATGGATGAGGAATTTGATAATAACATGGAACAACAACAACGCATCGACACAGCAATTGATGTTGCCAGAACAGCAATAGTTGTGGAAGACGATAAGGTCGAACTGCTTAAGGGCACCGAACGCCAGCGATTTGACAAACCAATACGCCTGCGCAATGGACTGACCCGCGCCGCCGCCGCCGCAACTTTTCATAACAGCGGCGGGCGTATACTGCGCAATCACCATCAGCATCAGTCGACTGTACACAATAGTGATATTACCGCGTCAAGCATTGGCACGGAATTAAAAACAACTGCCACTGATGCCCATACGAATCGTAATATTTTTAACAGTAAAAATAGTTCTAACAATATTAGTAGTTTAAGTAGTAATTGTAGTAGTAGTAGTAGTGCTAATGATTCAAATGAGTGCTTTAGCGGAATTGCGGATAGGTTGCCGGGCAGCAGACACTATGCTAACACAGCCACTATGCAAGAAGTTACCAACTTTGACCCAAGCTCGGCACTTTGCCATGCTGACGGTGAGAATGGTGTGAATGCCACAGGCACCACTCACAATAGAAATAAAAGTATTAGTCCAAGTTATCGAAAAAATTTAATAGATTCATTTCAAGAGGCGTCAGTGACACAAGCGCAAGAATCTATTGAGACAAGTCTTGCGAAAGATTCTATGCAAACACACGCACAACGTGCAACTCGTCGAAATCAGCAACGCATCGCTATTAAAACCGATATCAGTACAATACCAACAGCAAATGGCACTATAACAACGCGTAAGCGGAGTCTATCTCAGCTAACGGAACAACAAGTGCATGACGTTAATAATCGCAACGGTATCGATAATGACGTGCAAGACAAAGCTGCGACACACGATGCAGTCGATAGAAACTGCGCGCCTGTTGTTGCTGTTACGGCCATGGAAACACTCTTGAAGACACCAGAGCGGCGCTTGA